CGACATCTCCTTCGCTATTAATCTTTTGGCAAGATACAGTAATGCACAAACACACAGACATTGGACTGGTGTGAAAGAAATCTTCTACTACCTTAAGGGTACTACAGATTTGGGCTTGTTCTATCCCTACGGATTCTAGAGTGATGCCGAACCCTCCACTTCTTGAGTTGATTCTTTCCTTGTTGGTTATGCCCACGTATGATACTTAACTGATCCGCACAAGGCGTGTTCTCAAATGGGTTATGTCTTTATCATTAGAGGCACCGCAATCTCTTAGAGGTTAACTAAATAGACCTTAGTTGCCACTTCGTCTAACCATGCTGAAATTCTCACCTTACATGAAGCAACTCAGAAATGCTTTTGGTTGAGAGCAGTTATGGGCCATATTCGAAGCTCCTGCAATTTTTACCCCTTCGTAGATGCCCTAATGACGATCTTTGAAGATAACGCAGCATGCATCGAACAACTCAAGAAAGGTTACATCAAAGGAGACAACACCAAACATATTGCGCTGAAGTTCTTCTTCTCACATCAACAACAAAAGCATCAAATGGTTGAATTCATGCAAATCCGTTCACAAGACAATCTGGATGACCTCTTCACCAAATCACTACCGAAGGTGATGTTTCAGAGGCTTGTTCAAGGAATTGGTATGCGTAAACTTTCTGAGTTGTAACATTGCTATTTCTCCTTGGAATTATGCCAAACTCAAGGGGAATATCCTGAAGATACTACCACCCCACTTTGGACTAGTCATATCCCTGATGATGTCCCGTAAACGTTTGTTTTGACGTTACATTTCTCACACATTTTTCCTTAGATTATGGATTTTGTCCCTACTCGGGTTTTTGCCATAGCCTTAGGGTTTTTTCAGTGAGACTTACTTCCATATGCAAGTTCCTACCTCATTGAGAAGAAGCATTGTTCCCAGAATCAGTGCCGACGAGTCAACTTCCTCAACTTCTGCATGATACTGAAATCTACCTTGCGTATTTAAACACTCAAGGGGGAGTGTTGTGAACTTTCCTAGTTTAAGTGTGATTGTGTAAATCCTAGATTAGATTTTATTCTAATTATTCTTTCCTATATGGACTTGTATTCCTGAAAGGTTTCTTCTTCCTTTGACTACTATAAATAAAGGCATTACATGGTGGGGGGGGGGGGGGATAACATATCTCTCAACACACATATTCCCCTATGATTCTACAAACACATGTCCTCTCTCTCTCTTCCCTTGCCCCCGGCTCTCTCCTTTTAGTTAGATACAATAGGCTAGAACAAAAATAATATTTAATAAACAATTTATTGAATCCCATTATTGCTAGCTCATTGTGAGGCTAAACCTATCCCCCTCCCTCTTAGTGTAGATAATATCATTTCTTTAAAATAAACAAAAATTTGACAACTAATTTAATCACATTATTATCCGCGTGCAAATTACCTTTTTTATAACCGGCATTATACGCCTCTTAAGATGTTTTAAACGTGTTTAAAAATAGAGAAAATAATATTGAATGAACAACTGATTGAATCACATTATTGCTAGCCCATTGTGAGGCTAAGCCCACCCCCCCCCCCCTTAGTGTTGATCATATCGTTTGTTAAAAATAAAAATAAAAAAAGTATTTGAAAACTAATTTAATCACATTATTATTAGCATGCGAAAGACTTTTTTTTATAACCGGCACTACATGCCTCTTAAGATGTTTTGAACGTGTTTAAAAATAGAGAAATTGAATCACATTATTGCTAGTCTATTGTGAGGTACTAATTAAAAAAAATAGCAAAAAAAATTAACTATTAAAAAAAATACTGTTAGAAAATGACAAAACTGCCCCTTCCTTATTTGATGCATTATTTTGGGATGCTTTTGAAGTTTTTTGTCTTGGGGCATTTTTGTCCAAATATTTTTGTTGAAGCTTGATGACACCAAAAACACTATTCACCTTTTGTGTTCTCTTTATATATAGATAAGTATTGACTATCAACTTTTAGCTAGTATGCATGCCACAAACTAAAAGTTCCAAATCCTTTGATCTTTTGCTGGTTCTTAAGCTCGTTACTGAAATGATGCCACTCTCAGTACTTCAGGTGAAATGATTACAGCTGGAACTTATAACTTCGGCAAAGCCAAAGCCTCGAGAAACAAAGTTTCTCTCAGATATTGATGACCATGAAAGCTTGAGGTTTTAGATTCTATAGTCATAATGTGTTACAAGGACAACCCTTCACTTAAAGAAAATCGTGATCCCGTTAAGGCGATTAGGGAAGCCTTAAGCAGAGCATTAGTGTATTATTATCCTTTAGCTGGCAGGCTTTGGGAAGGGCCTAATAGAAAGCTTATGGTTGATTGCAATGGTGAAGGTATCTTGTTCGTTGAGGCTTTTGGTGATGTCATACTTGAACAACTGGGAGACAAAATTCTACCCCCTTGTCCACTCTTAGAGGAGTTCTTATTTAATTTCCTAGGTTCTGATGGAATTAATGGTTGTCATTTGCTGCTAGTTCAGGTGAATCAATTAATTATTAATTACATGTTAAATTGTTTTTTGTATTCATATTTGGTCATTGCCATATTAATGCTTTACCAAAACAAAAAAAAATTGAAGTAGGTTAAGGGTAAGAGTAGTGTTTTTTGCATTAAGGTCGCATACACACGCCAGACTTTTTTTTGTAAGAAATTAGTGCAATGAACTACATATGAAATTTTTAATAACGAAAAAGGATACAAACAAGAAAGCGCCAACAATATTGTAAATAAGTTGAAGTTTGGTGGCACCGCAATTGTTTTTAACTTTTTTCATAAAATTGGCCGAAAATTTATCATACCGCCACCGCACCCAAACTTGAACTTGTCTACGGTACTACCATGCCTTTTTGTTCTTATGGTTAAAGAAAGTTCATTAGGTGGTTTTGGGAAAAAAAATATTCTGAGATGCTTTTCATTATTTTTCGAAACTAATTTTTTTGACAGCCCTTATGTTTAACCCTCTATATTGCAAAATTTATATAACAACAAATCAAGGAAATTAAATTTCTACATGGTATCTGCCTAATTAGGTCCTAGGTTCTTTCTACCAGTCTCACTTCACCTTTAGCGTCTAGACTTTCCTTTGTCATTCTTCTTCTAGGGTTTTTGCCTGTTGTCATGTTGTCCTCTTCGTCTTCTGTCTAAATTTTTCTTTCTTTTATAAGCATTTCGTAAAAATTCCTCTGTATTTAAAGACTCTTTCAAGTAACTACAACAGGCACGAGACTCTTTCAAAGAGACTCCATCTTTCTTGAATTTTATTCCTAATTTTTATGAAATTTTTGTTTCCTAATTAGATCATCTAATTTAGACCCTTTTTTTTTGTATTTTCTTCTAAAGAATTTGTTAACTAGCACGAGTATGATGATCAAGAAAAAAGTCTAGTTACTAACTTTTCCATTATTTAGGTGACCCATCTTACATGTGGAGGTTTCATACTTGCATTGCGCCTACACAAAGTGTGATGCACCTGGATTGCTCTACTTCCTGAACGCCATTGCGGAGATATGTGTGTTAAACGTAATGGACTTTCTGTAATGTAGAGTTGTGTCTCTTGGAACTAATCCAAGAGTTATGGCTGTTATCAAAAGGTCTGAATGTTATTATAAATAGCCAATAAGATGGCCAAGTGTTGTAATAAAAAATTGAAAGCAATAAAGTTAAGTAAATTTTAGTACCCGTTCAAAACTCATCCTCCATATATATTCTCTTGTATTCTTCCTTTCTGCAGTGTAATTGAAAACCGCTAATCTTTCTTCCAACAGTAAGAATCAAATTGCTCATTTGTTAGACAATTTAGTAAGATTTCAATGGATTTCTTAAAGAATCATGAGAATGTCACGAAGTATGAGCCCTAATTTCCTCAAACCAATAAGTGCAAAATGATATATATGCAATCGAGAACACAAAAGTAAACTAATCACACAAAATGATAGGAGCCTTGCTTATTGTAGAAGCATGTGGAGAAACAATTACAAGCACTCAAATATTCTAACCACCTACTCGTGATTTAGGGTTTTGAGATCTCCTTGGCTCGTTCATTCTAGGTAAAATTTTCAGCCCTATTTGTGTTAAAAGTTTGTTGAATTTGAATTGAGTTGAGACTCAAATTAAAGTAAAAATCAATACTCGTGGGAACGACTTCATACTTCCTCTTACTATACTACTATTGGTCTTGTGGACTTGCAAGTTAAAATTGGGTTTGCTTATATGATTGATAGGTATTTCGAGCTCACATCACCGAGCAAGCTTCACTGGTTCAAGTAGAGCTTAAGCGACCTACCAAACCGAAAACATAGTGAGTAAATTGCAATGTTCATACAAAATTGAACAACAAGAAAGTCACATGCCCAAGGAAAAAAAAGTCCATGTAGTCAAGCCGTCAAATCCAAAATGAAAAGAGGGAAGCAAAGCAATTTTTGCATATGAAATTTCAAGCAAATAAACAGACTGAGGAAAAACAAGGCATGTACATGCCCATCGAGGCTCTACATAAAAAGTTCCATGTAGTTTGTTAGTCCCTTGTCTTTTCAGAAAAGTTCGTTGCGATCTCGTAGCCTTAAAGAAAGTATTCCAATGGTGATTGACATGTCCAAGGAGTAGTTTGCTTTCCTTCATGATGCTCATATGGTCTTTGTGGTAGTCAAGGACTAGTATTCTGCGGCAAGGAGAACAAGTGTGACCGGTAGTCGAGGTAAGCAGCCAGTGCAGCATCAATGGTGGAGTCCTCTGGGTCACAGTTGGGTGAATATTATTTTGTATTATGCTTTTTGCGAGTGCAGTGGTAATGGTGGCATTAGGGTGGTTAGGGATGGGGAAGGGACCTGTCTTGTTATGGTTGCTCCTCTTCAGGGGGGTACTGCTAGTCCTTTTCACGTAGAAGCATATTGGTAGCGTTACGAAGTGTTAACTAGCCATCCTATTGAGCTTACTTATTTTCATTCAGAAAGGGATGCTTTACAAGTGGTGTTTGTTGTTCGATGCTACTTCTTCTACAACAATTCACAAAAATTTTACGACATTGTTGGAAAAAAATCACCTTGGAGATTTGACTTTTCTTTTTCTTATGCAAATAATCGCAACTGATTCGGGTTTATGGGAAGTTAATGGGCGAGGGAAAACACAGTAGAAACGTGTAGGTTTTAGATTTGAATTTGAATCTCACGTAGAAACGTGTAGGGAAAACACAGTAGAAACGTGTAGGTTTTAGATTAAGAGGATAAACGTGGGTTTGTGTTTATCTTTTCTTTCATTCTTTTTTTTAATTTGTGTTTTTCACTTTTTAGCGTTTGACATATTTATCCGGGGTTTAATAAATAATTTGTATTTTTTTTTGTTTTGTTATTTGTAGAGAGTTATAACCGTAATTTCATGGAATTCTAGTTAATAAGTAGTGTTTCGTTAATAATATTTATAATTTTTTTTTTCAACTAATATTTACAGATTTTGAGGAGTGTTGTGAAAATTCCAAATTTCATATATGTTTGAAATTTTGAAACATTTTGGCGTCCCTCATCCTCTAATTTTTTTTTTTTTTTTTTTTTTAATAATGTATGATCTACCACACATTATGCTTGTGGTAAATAACAAAAGGTGATATGGGTACTAACAATAATGACCACGAGCCTTGTTTGTGGTGGCTTACTATATTAACAACATGGGACTTTGCACGTGGTCATTCATTTTTATTTTATAACAAACTAAGATTTGTCCATGGTAAAAAATGTTATTCGCTACGTGCTTATTATACTCGTGATAAATTTTTACTTTTTCTAACGAGCTTATTAAGCCAGTGGTAGAATTGCGTGGTAGATAAGCTGATGTCTTGTAGTGCATGCACATAGCTCTCAACTACATGTGTTTTTTATTTTATTTTTTCTCTGCAGCCCATGTTGATTGCATGATTTAAACTTTTCTCGCTAACAACATTTTCTAATGGAAAAGAAAAGAGTCACATTCACAACGGGTGGAAACTTTGGACGCAAGATTCGAGAACCCTAGAGCATTTGCATAAGGCTATATAAGTACTGACCATCAACTTTTAGTTAGCATGCATACCACAAAATAAAAGTTCCAAATCCTTTGATCTTTTGTTGGTTCTTAAGCTCGTTACTGAAATGATGTCACCCTTAGTACTTCAAGTGAAACGATTGCAGCCGGAACTTATAATTCCGGCAAAGCCAACACCTCGAGAAACAAAGTTTCTCTCAGATATTGACGACCAAGAAGGCTTGAGGTTTCAGCTTCCAATCATAATGTGTTACAAAGACAACTCTTCGCTTAATGAAAACTGTAATCCCATTAAAGTGATTAGGGAAGCCTTAAGTAGAGCATTAGTGTATTACTACCCTTTAGCTGGCAGGCTTAGGGAAGGGCCTAACAGAAAGCTCACGGTCGATTGCAATGGTGAAGGTATCTTGTTCGTCGAGGCTTCTGCTGATGTCACACTTGAGCAACTAGGAGACAAAATTCTACCCCCTTGTCCACTCTTAGAGGAGTTCTTATTTAATTTTCCAGGTTCTGATGGAATTATTGGTTGTCCTTTGCTTCTGGTTCAAGTGAGTCAATTAATTATTAATTACATGTTAATTAGTTTTTCGTATTCATATTTGGTCATAGCCATTAATTCTTTACAAAAAAATTGAAGTAGGTTAAGGGTAAGAGTAGTGTTTTTTGCGTTAAGGTCGCATACATACGCCGGAGATTTTTTGTAAGAAATTAGTGCAATCAACAACATATGAATTTTTAATGAAAATAAGGACATAAACAAGAAAGCGCTAACAATATTGTAAAGAAGTTGAAGTTTGGTGGCATCGCAACTGTTTTTAACTTTTTCATAAAATTGGCAACCTTTTTCATAAACGAAAATTTATCATGTTGCCATTACACCCAAACTTGAACTTATCTACGATATTACCATGCCTCTTTGTTCTTATGATTAAAGAAAGTTCATTAGGTGGTTTTGAAAAAAAAGGATTATGAGACGCTTTTTGTTATTTTTAGAAACTAATTTTTCTTCTACAATCCTTATGTTTAACGCTATATATTGTAAAATTTGTATACACACCGGATCGAGGAAATTACATTTCTACATGGTAATAGGTCCTAGGTTTTCTACTAGTCTCACATCACCTTTATTGCATAGGTTTTCCTTTGCCGTTCTTCTTCTAGGTTTTTTGCCTGTCGTCATGTCATCCTCTTTGTCTTCTATCTAAATTTTTTTATCTTCTATAAGCATTTTGTCAAAATTCCTCTGTATTGAAGGACTCTTTCAAGTAACTACAACATGCACGGGACTCTTTTGAAGAGACTCCATCTTTCTTGAATTTTATTCCTAATTTTTATGAAATTTTGGTTTCCTAATTAGATCATCTAATTTAGATAGCTTTTTTGTCTTTTCTTCTAAAGAATTGTTAACTAGCATGAATATGATGATCAAGAAAAAAGTCTAGTAACTAACTTTTGCAATACGCAGGTGACCCGTCTTACTTGTGGAGGTTTGATACTTGCATTGCGCCTAAACCACACAATGTGTGATGGACCTGGATTTGTCCAGTTCCTGACCGCCGTTGCGGAGATGGCAAGAGGCGCACATGCACCATTTATTCTACCAATGTGGGAGAGAGAGCTCTTGTTTGCTCGAGATCCACCAAGAATTACATGTGCTCATCATGAATATGAAGACGTGATTGATCATTCTGATGGCTCATACGCATCCAATAACCAGTCAAATATGGTTCAACGATCCTTCTACTTTGGGGCCAAGGAGATGAGAGTCCTTCGACAACAGATTCCAACCCACCTAATTTCCACTTGCTCCACATTTGACTTGATCACAGCTTGTTTGTGGAAATGTCGCACTCTTGCACTTAAAATTAATCCAAAACAGGTTGTTCGAGTTTCCTGCATTGTCAATGCACGAGGAAAGCACAACAATGTACGTCTTCCCTTGGGATACTATGGCAATGCATTTGCATTTCCGGCTGCAGTTTCAAAGGCTGAACCTCTATGCAAAAATCCACTGGGATATGCTTTGGAGTTAGTGAAGAAGGCTAAAGCTACCATGAATGAAGAATACTTAAGATCAGTGGCAGATCTTTTGGTACTAAGAGGGCGACCTCACTATTCATCGACAGGAAGTAATTTTTTAGTTTCTGATTTAACACGTGTAGGTGTTGGAGATGTCAATTTTGGATGGGGACAGCCAGTATTTGCTGGACCCGCCAAGGCCGTGGATTTGATTAGCTTCTACATTCAACACAAAAACAACATTGAGGATGGAATATTGGTACCAATGTGGTTGCCATTCTCGGCCATGGAGAGATTTCAGCAGGAACTTGAGAGGATTACTCTGGAACCTAAGGAGGATATATGTAACAACCTTAGATCAACTAGGATCATGTCAATGATGTAATTGTTAAACGTAATGCACTTCCTGTAATGTAGAGTTGTGTCTCTTGGAACTAATCCAAGAGTTATGGCCATTATCAAAAGGTTTGAATGTTATAATGGATAGCCAGTAAGATGGCCAAGTGTTGTAATAAAAATCTGAAAGCAATAAAGTTAAGTAAATTTCAGTTCCCGTTCAAAACTCATCCTCCATATATATTCTGTTGTATTCTTCGTTTCTGCAGTGTAATTGAAAACTGTTGATATTTCCTCCAACAGTAAGAATCAAATTGGTCATTTGTTAGACAATTTAGTAAGATTTCAATGAATTTCTTAAAGAATCATGAAAAGGTCAGAAAGTCTGAGCCTTAATTTCCTCAAACCAATTAAGTGCAAAATGACATATATGCGATCGAGAACACAAAAGTAAACTAATCACACACAATGATAGGAGCCTTGCGTACTGGAGAAGCATATGGAGAAACAATTGCAAGCACTCAAATATTCTTCCCACCTACACGTAATTTAGGGTTTTGAGATCTCCTTGGCTCATTCATTCTAGGTAAAATTTTCAGCCCTATTTGTATTACAATTTTGTTGAATTCGAATTGAGTTGAGACTCAGTTTAAAGTAAAAATCAATACTCGTGGGAACGACTTCATACTTGTGTTTCACTGGTTCAAGTAGAGCTTAAGCGACCTACCAAACCGAAAACATAGTAAAGTAAATTACAATGTTCACACAAAATTCAACAACAAGAAGGTCACAAGCCCAAGAATAAAAAAGTCCATGTTGCCAAGCCGTCAAATCCAAAATGAAAAGAGGGAAGCAAAGCAATTTTTGCATATGAAATTTCAAGCAAGTAAATAGACTGAGGAAAAACAGGGCATGTACATGCCCATCGAGGATCTACATAAAAAGTTCCATGTAGCTTGTTAGTCCCTTGTCATTTCAGAAAAGTTCGTTACAATCTCGTAGCCTTAAAGAAAGGCTATTCCAATGGCGATTGACATGTCCAAGGACGAGTAGTTTGCTTTCCTTCATGATGCTCATATGGTCTTTGTGGTAGTCGACGACTAGTATTATGCGGCAAGGACAACATGTGTGACCGGTAGTTGAGGTAAGCAGCCAGTGCAGCATCAATGGTGGAGTCCTCTGGGTCAAAGTTGGGTGAATATTATTTTGTATTATACTTTTTGCGAGTGCAGTGGTAATGGTGGCATTAGGGTGGTTAGGGATGGGGAAGGGACCTGTCTTGTTACGGTTGCTACTCTTCAGAGGGCATATTGGTAGCGTTACGAAGTGTTCAACTAGCCATCCTATTGAGCTTTCGTATTTTCATTCAGAAAGGGATGCTTTACAAAAAATTTATGGCATATTGAAATTTTGTATACAAAAAATTTAGCTACATCGATGCTACTTCTTCTACAACAATTCACAAAAGATAAATATTGTTAATGAGAATTTTCATTGCCACAATCGATTAAATGAAATCAACAATATATTGAATACTTATCTTTTAGGGAGTAGAAATCGCTCTCTACCGATGTTTCATTAGAACAACACCATAAGTTGAGGCCATTTAGACACTATCTTTATAAGAGTGGATTTCGTCTCTCAAAAATAATGTCCACTAGTACAAAAACATGTTTGCGCGACGGCAACTTGCGCGACGTAGCAAATTTTGTCGCGCAAAGCATGTTTGCGCGACGTTAAATTCAAAACGTCGCGCAAAGTAGTTTTGCGCGACAACATTTTGCGCGACGAAGTTATGCGTCGCGCAACGCGATTTTGCGCGATGAAGGTGCACATACGTCGCGCAAAACATCCTTGCGCGACGCATTCCTGCGTCGCGCAAAGTGTTGTCGCGCAAAGATACTTTGCGCGACGTTTTGAAATTAACGTCGCGCAAGATATTGACGCCAAGCCAAGAATGTTTTACCGATTTTTTCCCAACTTTAGCTCTAAAAAATCATCAAAATCAGAGTTAAAACTATTGTTAAATCGTGTTTTTTTGTTTATAACCGTCGAAAAGTTTTATCCCGTTACTTGATCTCTGAATGTTTGTTTTTTGAGATTTTTTGGCGTACGCGATCTCGGAGTATATACAAACATTTGACGGTTTGATCGTTCAAACTAGTTTCATAGAATGTGTTTCCCATCAAGTTCAATGGTATATATATTTAGAAAGTATATTTTAATTTATTTATCTTGTACTCATAAACAAAAGGACAAAAGAAAAGCCAAAAAAAAAAAAAAGGCACTTTGCGCGACGCAGGTGCGCCTGCGTCGCGCAAAACAGGTTTGCGCGACGCAGGTAAATCCACGTCGCGCAAAGTGCTTTTTTTTTTTTTTTTTGGCTTTTCTTTTGGGTTCTTGTATTGCTTTTTCTTTTGTGGTATCTACTTGTGTAAATGTTTTAAATTGACGATCGAATTACTTCATTGTATTTATATAAGGTTAAAGAGTGTAGCTCTAAAAAATCATCAAAATCGGAGTTACAACTACCGTTAAATAGTACTTTTTCGTTAATAACCGTCGAAAAGTTTTGTCACGTTACTTGATTTCTGAATGTTTGTTTTTTGTGATTTTTGGCATATGCGATCTCGAAGCATATACAAACAAGTTTGACGGTTGGATCGTTAAAACTAGTTTCGTAGAATGCGTATCGCATCAAAACAGTAGATTCACTAACACTTGGAGTTTATTAATACTTCCATTAGGTATAACATAAGATTTTGTGGTATCTACTTGTGTAAATGTTTTAAATGGACGATCGAATTACTTCATTGTATTCATATAGGGTTAAGGAGTGTAGCTATAAAAAAAATCATCAAAATCGGAGTTAAAATAACCGTTAAATTGTTATTTTTCATTTATAGCCGTCGAAAAGGTTTGTCTCGTTACTTGATATCTAAATGTTTGTTTTTTGTGATTTTTGGCATATGCGATCTCGAAGCATATACAAACAAGTTTGACGGCTGGATCGTTGAAACTAGTTTTGTAGAATGCGTATCGCATCAAAACAGTAGATTCATTAACACTTGAAGTTTATTTATACTTCCATTAAGTATAACATAAGATTTTGTGGTATCCACTTGTATAAATGTTTTAAATGGACGATCAAATTAGTTCATTGTATTCATATAGGGTTAAGGAGTGTAGCTATAAAAAAAATCATGAAAATCGGAGTTAAAATAACCGTTAAATTGTTATTTTTCATTTATAGCCGTCCAAAAGGTTTGTCTCGTTACTTGATATCTAAATGTTTGTTTTTTGTGATTTTTGGCATATGCGATCTCGAAGCATATACAAACAAGTTTGACGGTTGGATCGTTGAAACTAGTTTTGTAGAATGCGTATCGCATCAAAACAGTAGATTCATTAACACTTGAAGTTTATTTATACTTCTATTAAGTATAACATAAGATTTTGTGGTATCTACTTGTGTAAATGTTTTAAATGGACGATCGAATTAGTTCATTGTATTCATATAGGGTTAAGGAGTGTAGCTGTAAAAAATCATCAAAATCGGAGTTAAAACAACCGTTAAATCGTGATTTTTCGTTTATAATCGTCGAAAAGTTTTGTTGCGTTACTTGATCTCTAAATGTTTGTTTGTTGTGATTTTTGGCATATGAGATCTTAAAGTATATACAAACAAGTTTGATGGTTGGATCGTTGAAATTAGTTTTGTGGAATGTGTATCCTATCAAAATGATAGATTTTAATACAATTGTGACAAAAACATTTTTTTGCGCGACGCAAGAAATTTCGTCGCGCAAAGTATGTTTGCGCAACGATAAGCATACAACGTCGCGCAAATGTCCTTTGCGCGACGAAGGCATGCGTCGCGCAAAGTACAAAACAGCTTTGCGCGACGCATTCCTTCGTCGCGCAAAGTGCCAAACGTCGTGCAAGATTTGGCGCCAAACAAAGAATTATTTACCGCTTTTTTTCCCAACTTTGCGCAACGCAGGTGCACCTACGTCGCGCAAACCTGTTTTGCGCAACGCAGGACTTCGTCGCGCAAGGTATTGTCGCGCAAAGGTGGTTTGCGCGACGGTTTATGCGTCGTGTAAGATTTTGGCGCCAAACGAAGACTTCTTTACCGCTTTTTTTTCCCAACTTTGAGCGACGCAGGTGCACCTACGTCGTGCAAAGCTGTTTTGCGCGACGTAGGTGGCGTCGCGCAAAGCCAACGACTTTTTTTTCTGATATAACCACAAATAGAGGTCTTTTTCTTCACACTCAACCTCTCTCTTTCAGATTCTCTATCTCTCTCAACCCTCACCATCTTCAACTTCAGGTATTGTATTTATTTGATGAATTAATTAACTATTTGTTGATTACATTTATGTTTGGATTTTTTTATTTTTGTGTATTTATGTTTTTCTTTAATTATCTTTGTCAATGCTTATTTTTAACAAGTTGACGATTCTTTCAGTTTGGGGTCCTTGAAGGCCTACCTTGCTGAGTTCATCTCTACTTTGCTATTTGTTTTTGCAGGACTTGGTTCAGCCATAGCTTACAGTAATTTATTTGCCCTCATTATAGCTATTTTTTCTTATTTATTCTTTTTATCAACTGCATCATCAGCTAGCTAGCCTTTTAAACTATCAAAATGATACGACAAATTCATGACTAACTTGAGTTATGATTAAAATAGGCTATGAGTGTGATTTCATCTAACGTGGTTGAAAAAAAAAATCCATTCTAAGTGATTTTTGCGAACAGTTTTGGTGGATTTATTAGCATTTTCTCCAATACTGTAGAGATTGTCAATAACTTTTCTAGTTTATGTAATGAACACTGCTAGCACACTAAAGTTACACAAACTAATGTTGATTGGTTCAAATCTAGTGCACTTTAAAATTTATTTATAACAAGTGTAATGACATTATTTGGGTAATCAATTTGATGAATCTAGTATCGTCGTTATTGTTTTGAAAAGATGGTTAAACTCCAATTATAAAATATTTTGGTAGTTTACATGTACAAAGGTACATTGAATTGTTTAAATTTTTGTGGAATTTTTGGCAACTTGCAACTAACTATGAAATCCATTTAATTTCAGACAATCCCCACCCACAGTCTAGCTGCTGGAGTTGGAGCCATTGAAGGAGTAGTCTTTGAGATCATCAGGTATTGTATTTATTTGATGAATTAATTAACTATTTGTTGATTACATTTATGTTTGGATTTTTTTATTTTTGTGTATTTATGTTTTTCTTTAATTATCTTTGTCAATGCTTATTTTTAACAAGTTGAGTTTTGGTTTTGAACAATTGAATAAGTAGAATGAATGAGTAGGAGTATGAAGGATTTTTGATAGGTTTAGGGAAACAAAAGCTAAGAAATTGCAAACTACGTAGTTAACTTGATCTAATTTAGGGATAGGTTGATGTGTGCTCAAAAATGGATAGATTTCATTTCTCACCAAATTGGGAGGAGGAAACTAGAATGTTAGAGATTTAGAGAAGAAGCCAGTTTACAACTTTGTCAAACCACTGTTCTATTACATGGTTAGTAATAATTTTAGGTGTAGTCTCTACACTTTACGATTTAGAATATATGGTCTCATCATATAGGTCCTTAAAAATTAATTTTAAGGCAGGAGTGGAAGGCATAAACAAGAAGTTAAAAAGTTAATACTGTGGAACATAGAAATTTTGGGTGATGTCAATATGGAATTGTCCTATTTTTTGGTTTAGAAGGATTAGTAGTTTGTAGCTATTTTATTTAGTTTCATTAATTATTGTGATTTAATTCATTTGTATGCACATATTTTTGTACATCAAGTACAAAATTGTTTTGTGTTTTACGAAGTTAATACTACTTAACTTCGTACACTTATTTCAAGAAAAGCTTAGTTTTCCGTTTGAGAATTAGTTGGATTTCGTGTATGGATGCGAAAGCATGACTGCGGTCCAATTAATTCTTGAATTGTCCCATTTTTTGGACAGTTTGGGAATGCATAGTTATGTGTTGTAGTTTGCGGTTCATGGATTAGGTTTCGATAGTGCAAATTTTGGTAACATTTCTTGATGTTCTTCGAGTACACGGTGGATATTATGTATCTACGGCGTGCACTTGAAGAACTGTAAGGAGATGCTGCCGAAATTAGCCCACATCGAAATTTAATCCATTGGAATCGTAAATTACGGCACATAACTGTGCATTCTTGAATGGGATAGGGCCCTTACCGGAGGAATAAGGTGACAAGACAATAGTTGAAGTTGTAATTCTTGTATTTTTATTGGAATTGCAGACAAAATGGACAGACAGTGGATGCATAATCATAATAGATGTGCTGTTGAGTACTTGGATGGAATAAACGAGTTCATTGAATTCGCAAGTAGACATAACCGAGGTTCAACTCCTATCCGATGTCCGTGTAGGAGGTGTAACAACTCAATGTGGGAGACATTGGAAAATGTTCGATTTCATTTAGTAAGAAATGGGATGATGGAGACCTATACTACTTGGTATCATCATGGAGAACGATTAGGCCAAGCTTCGTCTTCATACGTGACACGAGTGGAGACTGTTGAATCTAATGTGGAGCCTAGTGAACAAGTTATGAATATTCTAAATGATGTTTATCCATATGCCTCGAGCAACACCAATAAGGAAGGGGGAGATGAAGGACATCCAACCATGGATAGTGAGGCATTCAAAAACTATGAAACACTATTGAAAAATGCCAAGCAAGAATTATATCCGGGTTGCGAGAACTTTTCGGTGCTCACGGCAATTGTGGAGTTGATGCATGGCAAGATCAAGTTTCGTTTGTCAAACAAATGTTTTGATTACTTTTTGGGAGTTATGAAGAGGATGCTTCCAAAGGAGAATTGCTTACCTGAAGATCATAAAAGTGCCCAAAAAATGTTGAAGGGTCTCGGATTGGGGTATGAAAAAATTCACGCATGTGTAAATAATTGTATATTGTTCTATAAGGAGAACAACCAGTTGGATAAGTGCCCTATCTGCAATGAGCCGAGGTTTAAAATGACATCACAAAATAGAAAGACCAAGATTCCACAAAAAGTAATGCGTTATCTTCCATTGAAGCCTAGGTTGCAACGATTGTACATGTCGATGCATACCGCAACAGACATGAGATGGCATAAAGAAGGACGGGTAAATGATGATGTTATGAGGCATCCTGCAGATGGAGAGGCATGGAAAGAATTTGATCGGATGTACCCTGATTTTGCAGCTGACCCGCGCAACGTCAGATTAGGACTTGCCACCGACGGATTTAATCCGTTCGGGGTTTTAAACCAAATCCATAGCACTTGGCCGGTTGTCGTGTTTCCTTATAATCTGCCGCCTTGGAAGTGCATGAAAAAAGAATACATGATGTTGACTCTATTAATTACTGAAGATCCAGGAAAGTCCATTGATGTTTATTTGCGGCCGTTGGTTGATGAGCTAAAAGATTTATGGGAAAACGGTGTTCGTACATACGATAAGTATACTGGGCAGATGTTCACCATGCGAGCGGCAGTGATGTGGACAGTGAACGATTTTCCCGCATATGCAATGGTTTCTGGTTGGATGACTAAGGGTTATTTGGCATGTCCAATATGCAAGGAGAATGTAACATCGTCTTGGCATGCGAGAAAAGTTTGTTATCTTGGTCATCGTAGATGGCTCCCTTGGGACAACGAGTGGCGTCAAAATGATAAAGCCTTCCACAGTACAAAAGAAACTCGGCCAAGACCAAGAGAATGGTCCGGAGATGAGATTTTGGATCAGTTAAACCGTTTGGAATTTGGTCATTTCGGCAAAGGGGTCAATAAGCCCAGACCACCTACACATCTAAACTGGACGCACAAGAGTATGTTATTTGAGCTCCCGTACTGGTCAAAGTTGAAATTGAGACACAACCTCGATGTTATGCATATTGAGAAAAATGTGTTTGATACTTTGGTCGGGACAATTCTAGACATTGAAGGAAAAACGAAGGACACGATCGAAGCTCGCCTCGATTTGGAACGAATGGGCATTAGGTCATCCTTGTGGATGAAGAAAGTCGGTGGTACATTGAAGAAATGCCATCCTTTTTTTACAGTGAAGCCGAATGGGAAGAAAGAGTTTTTCAACTTTATTTCTTCTGTAAAGTTTCCAGATGGGTATGCTTCTAATATCTCACGTTGTGTGAATGTGCGGGGGTGTAAATTTTCAAACATGAAGAGTCATGATTGTCATGTGATACTCCAACGCCTTCTTCCGATTGGTATTCGACACTTATTGCCTCTTGATGTAGTTAAACCAATCGTGTTGTTGTCGAGATTTTTTTCGCAGCTGACTGCAAGGTGTTTACGGAAGTCAGATGTGAAACAATTGCAGGACGACATTGTGAACGTCTTATGCAAGTTCGAACAGATATTTCCCCCAGCTTTCTTTACAAGTATGATTCACGTGATGATTCACTTGCCAAATGAGGCATTGCTTGCCGGACCAGTGAACTGTCGATGGATGTATCCAATAGAAAGGTACTTAATTAAGCATATATATATATAACAGATTCATGATAAACGAACACTTTGAATAATTTGTAGCATACCTTTTATTTGTGTAGATATCTTGGTGAGTTGAAAAAGTGTGTCCGAAACAAGGCAAAGCCCGAAGGATCACTTGTGGAGGCATGGGTCGCATATGAGTCACTTACTTTTTGTGCAATGTATCTTCAAGATGTTGAGACAACTTTCAATCGTCCTCAACGCAATAATGACGGTGGTGTCAGAAAAGAGAAATTGTCTGTTTTTGCCCAAATTGCGCGACCATTTGGCGATCCTGTAAAAGGCGAATCGTTTACCAAAAATGACATGGAGGTAGCGCATTGGTTCATACTCAACAATTGTGACGAGGCTTTGCCATACCTTGAAGAGCATGAAAAGTTGATGAAGCGGGAACATCCTTCACATTTATATGCCAAGAAGCACCGTGACTTGTTTCCTTCATGGTTTCTCGCACATGTAAGTTGTATATGATTTGAATAGAGCATATTTTCCAACTTGTTCATACCCGTTTTTAAATTTGGTTACACTAATAGGTTAACTTTTTGTATATGTTATATTAGGTGAACAAATTGAAGGAATTGAATTCACCCTCTTACAATGAAGAATTATATAACTTGGCGAGAGGACCGCTTCACGTTGAATTGTTCTCCGGTTGTCATGTCAACGGGATCAAGTTCTTAGGGGCAACACGTGATGACAAGTCGTGTACTCAAAATAGTGGTGTCCATGTCCCGGGTGCAGGCGACAGTGAAGACATTGACTTTTATGGCAAACTAACTAGTGTAGTACAATTGCTTTACAAAGATAGATGTCAAGTGATACTGTTTAAGATAGATGTCAAGTGATACCGTTGCAATAATGACATCTGTTTTGTCTTTGAAACGTATCGGGAATACTGCTATGATTTTCTGTGGCTGTTAAACATGAATATCTTCATTGTACATTAGAACTATATAGTAAATTAATTAGAATAAGTTCAGTTGAATCAGCACTCTTCTTAATTTTGCTAATGATTTACCTGTCTAATAATAAAGAAAGGCTCTCTTGGGTGATATTCGAGTTTGAGTGGCTTATACATTCCTTGCGATGTATCTTGAGGGTTAACATTCATCAACATTTCTTTCAGCTGAGAACTTAAGATTACTGCTTGCACAGCAGCAATGTCTGCAATTACCTTCACAGAATCTAGAGAGAGAAAAATGCATGCATAATTACAATGTTAGCATCAACAGTACAGTACGAAAATGGTTTTACTATCATACTGAGTAAATATGCAGGACGTAGCTGCTTTCCATACTATTCAGACTTGTTTTGAGACATTCACTCCAGCTCGTGGTGTGTTGCCTATTGACAAGTTATGTCATCTTTATTTATAGGGATGGGAGGAAAAAGAAGCTTGGAATTCAAGAAAGCATTGTTAGCGTAATTGGTTACGGAGTTTCATTATTTTGTTTCTTTTTGTTCCTTTGGCTATCAAGGTGAGCAGTCATCTAAACAAAATGAAATTTGCAAGCATCTTGGTAACAAGCTATGTTTGACATATATGATATGACTAAATTTTTGTATATTATTGGGATGATGTATGAAAGAATATCGAACCTTTTCCATTTGGAATCTCAGAAAAATCAAGTCTTAAAGTAAGCTGGTATCCTTCTTTTGCAGGTTCAACAATCTCCACAACGTCACGACCAATTCCAGAAATCAAGTGGGGGTAAGTTGATTGCCTTTTCATTTGTTGTGCCATGTGTCTAGTTGAATGACTTGTATGAAGTAAATTGTTTTTGTACGGTACTTTGATCATTTAGTGTAATGAAGTTTTGATACCTTTGATTGATTACAATGTTTGGTAATCCTAGTGTCATATTACCCTCTTTTTTTTGTTTCACTTGATGCACTTTTTTTTTGTTGGCTATGAAAATGGATAAGTAGTTTCCTCATGTTTTGAAATTAAGAATGTTGGTAACCTACTTACTTACTACTTTGGCTGCTAATTGATTAGTTTCAAATGCAAGAAAGGATTAGTTTCTAATGTTATAATTTTATGGTTCAAAAAGTGTATAGATGTCGCGGTTGATCACTCGTCGTCGGAGTGTGACCAATGAGCCTCCTGCATTATCAACATCTACTGCTCCAGGCGTGAGTGCTCCATTGATTGGGGAGCCTACACCCCTTACTGAGGCTACTCCTATGGCGTCCCAGGTGCCCGTCTCATCGACATCATCAGTGTCAGTTCAGCCGCTTAGTGCACGACGGCCTCACCGACGTCGCCGCGAGCCGGAGCCTTCTGATCACACTTCCTCGGCATCCAGAGTCGAGGGTGAGGCCTCCCAGCCAGGTAGTTTTTTCTAATTCTCGATCACTACGTTGTATTTTTTTTTATCATTTTAAAATTATTATTTTTATGATGGTGAAAATTTGCTGGAATGTGACAATGTGATGGGGGTTGTGAATTACTATTTTAAGGTTTTGGGAAATGCTATACTATTAGGGGAGGTTATGTCGAATTTTCTGTAAATTTAAGCTTAGGGATTTCACCATTTAATTTTTTTTGGCCAGCTAAAAAAAACACCAGGGGGCCTAGTCGAATGTTGAAGGAGGCACAGAGCGTACGTTTGACCGGCTCCAAGATCAAGATTGAGTATGACCCGCGACATCGTGGAGCGGCTACCTCACAGCAGCATAACAGCGTCGCTAGTAGTTGTGGTGTTGTTATTAAACAAAGTTGTCCTATGCAGTGGGAGTCTTGGGCAGAAATTCCCGAGGAGACGAAGAAACTAGTGCGAGAAAACTTGTCGGTTAGTATATTAATTTTTAGCCTTTATCATTTTTTTAATTTTGTTTACAAATATTAAAAACCAAAATATATTATCTTAATATTATTAAATTTCTTACTATTATTTTATTATTTTTCATATTCGTAGGTCAATTTTGATCTTGATGACATATCTCCTGAGGTCATGGCCTACTTAGAGGATACCTTAGCAATTCGGTACAAACATTGGAAGAACTATCTTCACACGCATTTTAAGCGATGGGATGATCCGGAGTTTGCTCGCCTACATGGTTGCCCAACCGAGTTGCAGGATCGGCCGGAGGATTGGGAGTGGCTCTGCAAACATTTTACGGACCCAAAATTTGTAGTATGTACATAATATTTTAATAATAATTTATTATTGTTTTAGTTATTTTTTTAAGCTTCCTTTATTAATTTATTTTAAATAATCGAACTAACATGTATATTGTGTGTTTAACAGAAGAAATCTATTGCTGGCAAGATAGCTCGGGACTCAAAGACACTTCTCCACCATTCTGGTTCGAAGCCCTTTTCGTATAGACTTGAGGCACGACGTCAGGTAAAAGTATATTAATTTTGAAATTTTATACAATTTATTTATTATTTTTTATTAATAAAATTTTCTTAATGTTTGTTTCTTCAGGAGGGTTCTAAGTTCCCAGAGATCGACATGTTCGAGGACGTTTACGTTCGACCTGGTGATGAGCTAGCTAAGCAGCTTCATGTAAGTATATGTAATTGTTATTATTCTTATATGTATGAATCGTTCAAATATTATTTATATTATGTTATTAAACATTATATGTTTTTTTCCTTTATTATTACAGGATGCTATGGTGGAACAGCGCACTACTGTTCTCCAAGAAGCAACATCACAACTTCCCCCGGAGACCTCGATCGAGGACGCCACGATACCCGAGGATGCAGGTTTTCAGATCCTGACTAATGTCATGGATCAAAACTTCGGGCGTCGTCCTGGCAAAGTTGTTCGGGGTATGGGAAAAGCGCGAGTTCGTGAGACGGGTGCCTCTTCTTCCAGATCAAACACAGCAGAGGTTAGTGCATTGAAGGAGGAAGTGACAACCCTAAAGGGTCAGCTTGCGGTCCAGAGTGAGCAAATGAGGGCCCGGGACGAGCAGATGAGGGCCCGGGACGAGCAGATGAGGGCCCAGGGCGAGCAGATTAAGGCCCAGGGCGAGCAGGTGAAGGCCTATGCCGGACACATGAGAGACCTTGTACGAGCCATACAGATGTCCGGCCTCCAAATCTCACTACCAGTACCTGATCTTCCTACACCTTCGACTTCTGAGCCACTTTGCCCTACCGATACCTAGTAGCTTGATGTATCAAACCTAAAAGACTACTTGTAGTTTTTTCTTATTTTTTTGTTTGGACATTTTGTATGTATATTTTCATATATTTATAACTAAATACTTTTCGTTGGTTAATTAATTATCGTTTAGAGTTTAATTAAGATATTTATTAAAAATTAAAAAATATTTTTTTTTACCAAAACAAAAAGAAAAAAAAAAAAAAAGAGGTTTGCGCGACGTAGGTAGAATCTTCGTCGCGCCAACCTCTTTGCGCGACACAAGACTCTACGTTGCGCAAAGTGGCTTTGCGCGACCCACAAACCTACGTCGCGCAAAGTCACTTAGCGCGACGCACGATCATACGTCGCGCTAAGTGTCTTTGCGCGACGCACAACCCTACGTCGCGCAAAGCCACTTAGCGCGACGCGCGACCCTACGTCGCGCGAAGTGGCTTTGCGCGACGTAGGGTTGTGCGTCGCGCAAAGACACTTCGCGCGACGTAGGTAGAATCTTCGTCGCACGAAGTGTTTGCGCGACGTAGGGGATGCGTCGCGCAAAGAGACTTTGCGCGACGTAGTAATACGTCGCGCGAAGCCTCTTTGCGCGACGTAGGGGGAATCTTCGTCGCGCAAACCCCTTCTGTCACTGCCTTGCCGCGACGGTTAGTGCGCGACGAAGGTGCGTTGAGCTAAGTCTTGCGCGACGCTTTTTGACTTTGCGCGACGCATCCCCTACGTCGCGCAAAGTGTTTTTTGTACCAGTGGTCTCAGTGTAGCAGGTTACAACGTACTACCTTTGACCTTAGTTTGTACACTTGCAATATTCGAGTCCGACTAATAGTACTATTCTTTTATTTGGTAAATAGAAATTAGGGCAATTAGCATAAATAATCACTTTTTGACATTTGGTTGCAAAAATGATCATTTTTTAAAATCGATGACGTATTAATCACATATCGACCACACAATGATGACATAACAACACCTAATCATTTCTGCAGCCAAATATCAAAAAGTGATAATTCCTGCTAATTGCCCTAGAAATTAAAATTAAACGATATACTAGCTAATGACGGGTCAATAGAGGAAAGGACAGGTTCTACTTTACCAACAACTGTTAAGGGATTCTTATGGAAGATTAAAATGTATTACATGTTGAAGCATTAAACAAAATAAAATAATGGAAAGGATCAACTAGGAATACATTGTTGTGCACCTTTGTGAGGATCAATAATTTGCCATGTAGATGAGAGGAAACAAAAGCCTACACAAGACTGTATCTTGAAATACCGCAAGGAGGAAGGCAGGATCAATTCTCCGACTCCCTCTCTGCTTCCTCTATTGTTTATAGCCACCGTCTCCTCACGCTTTGCATTGGGGCTCTCAATTCAAATTATGAATCTGAATTTGACCTCTTCTTGGAAGAATAGTGAATGTCTTTCCTTACAACTCAATTATAAAAAATTGCAAAAATGTAAACATTCCAACAAAATTAATCAGTTAATCATTATAACCAAGCATTTTGGCCTCAAATTGAAATCTATACTTCTTTCCCCAAGATATAGAGCAAGGAGATTGGGGTGAAGGTGAATATGTAAGACATATTCTGAAAAGCACAACAATAAGACATTTGAGTTGCAAATTGAATAAACCAAATGAATACAAAAAATAAAAATAAAATTTTTTACTATCTCTTGAATTCGAAACATGATTGGGATTGATCTCATAATTGTCTTCTACTCCCTACAATTTAAATGCTCTTGCTAGTGAAAATCCTTTTCCTAGGGATCCTTGGTATCCCATGATCATGATCGTTCATCGTACATCATGCGATCAGTATTTGTTAAGTAATATTCATATTTAATTTTAATTGTTGAAATGATTTATGACCGCACGATGTACCATGAACAGTCACGATCACATGATCCCTAAGGTCCCTAGGAAAAGATCCAGCGAGGATCATTTTCTGAACTTAAAGTGCTTTATGGATGCTAAGTTTATACAAAATAATTGGGTAAAGTACAAAAAACTACCTCAACTATTGGTGTCATGACATTTTCATACCTTATCTTTTAAAATTGACAATGTCATACCTCATCTTTAGAATTTGGTTCAATGTTATACCTTCCGTTACTTGGCCGTTTACTTTTCAGTTAAATGCTGACGTGGTTTGATTCGAGGCCCACTTTCTATTAAAAAATCATTAAAATATTATTAAAAACTAAAAAGTATATATATTTAATATTTTTAAATATTAAAATAATAAAAAAAAAGTAAAAAAAAAAAAAAAAAAAAAAGGAAATAACCCTCAGTTCGTCCCTCTCCCCTTCCTCTCTCTTCTCCCCATCTTCATCTTCTTCCCCCCTCCCCAACCTGCAAACCCCAAAAAAAAAAAAAATTGAAAGCCCATCAACCCCCCTGCAGACGAAGAAGAAGGAAAAGGAGAAGGACAAGGAGAAGGAGGAAGAAGAAGAAGAAGAAGAAGGGGAAAAAAAGGAGGAGGAAGGAAAAAAAAAATCACACCCCCCCCGGTGCGCGCGCGCGCGTGGAAGAAGAAGAAGGAAAAGGAGAAGGAGAAGGAGGAAGGAAAAAAAAAATCACAACCCCCCCCTGGCGCCCCCCCGTGTGCGCGCGCGCGTGGAAGAAGAAGAAGGAAAAGGAGAAGGAGAAGGAGGAAGAAGAAGATGAGGAAGAAAAAAATATATATATTTTTGAAAACCCATCAACCCGCCCTACGGAAGAAGAAGAAGAAGAAGGAGAAGGAGAAGGAGAAGGAGGAAGAAGAAGAAGGAGAATGAGAAGAAGAAGAGGAAGAAAAAAAAAATATTTGAAAACCATCAACCCGTAGGGAAAGAAGGAGAAGGAGAAGGAAATGGAGGAAGAAGAAGAAGAAGAGGAAGGAAAAAAATAAAATAAAATTTGAAAACCATCAAGCCCCCACCCCCTGCAGAAGAAGGAGAAGGAGAAGGAGAAGGAGGAAGAAGAAGAAGAAGACGACCAAAACCATCAAACCCCAAATCCACCACTCTCATCCATTCTCCACATCCTCTTCAGCACCCATCCTCCACTTTCTCTGCCCACCCATCTTCCCGCCAACGGGATCTAGGTTTTTTTTTTTATTTTTTTTTTAATGTTGCAGAAGGGAGAAGAGGGAGTGGGGAGGGGGGGAAACTAAGTGTGGGTGTGGGGGAAGACAAATTGGAATTCTTTTTTTTTTTTTTTTTTTTTTTGTGGGGTTTGCAGGTTGAGGAAGAAGATAAATATGGTTTAGGGTTTAGAGAGAAGAGAGAGGAGTGGGGAGGAGGAGGGGAGGGACGAAATGAGGGTTTTTTTTTTTTACTTTTTATTATTATTTTAATATTTCAAAAATATTAAATAATTTTTTTTTTAGTTTTTAATAATATTTTAATGATTTTTTAATAGAAAGTGGGCCCCGAATCATGCCACATCAGCATTTAACTGAAATGTAAACGGCCAAATAATGGAAGGTATAATATTGGACCAAATTCTAAAGATGAGGTATGACATTGTCAATTTTAAAAGATAAGGTATGAAAGTGTCGTGACACCAATAGTTGAGGTAGTTTTTTGTACTTTACCAAAATCATTTAACAATTGTCTTCTACAGAAAGTGCCTTTTTTTTTTTTTTTCAAAGTATATAGAAATTAGTGCGTATTTAATAAAATTTTCAAAGGTAAGTACAACCCCACATATTTTACAAAATTACAACTTTTGCCCCTACGTTATTGTCTTTGACAGTTATTATATCACACTACATACCATATCCTTTTTAGTTATTTAACACATTCAGAGCAATTTATATAAAATTTTACAAAATACTCATACACTGTTTTTTTTTTTTTTTTTTTTTTTTGTTAAAAGCACTTTTACAAAATAATAATAATAATAATAATAAAATAAAAATTACTAAACACCAACAACTTTATTTTACAACTGTTTATTCTGATAGGACAGCAAAATCACATTTTTTTTAGAAAGCACAGGAATACCAAATGAACCCAAAGTATTGCCACTTAGTACTACATTGTAGTGGTTTACGTTCTAGTGGTTTTCCTCTTCACTTGTAAGTGAGAGGTTTTAGGCAGTGTTCTAAAAATCGGCCTAGGCGACCCCTAGGCGCTGGGCGACGGAGCTCCAACCCAATTTATACCAAAACATTCAGTTAGGCAGGGAAGATATAGGCAGCCGCCTAAGCGCTCGCTAGGCTCCTGAGGTGGGCTAGTCGGCAGTCTAGGCGATTTGAATCTCGCTGCAATCCCAAACATGCTATAATTTTCACAAAGGATTTACTACTTCCAATCTCGTACGTAGCAGTAGAGACCCGAAAAATTTTCTGTAGCTCGTCCTTGTGAAAATGAGGGGAGAGATAGAGAGAGAGATTGAAAACCATGGACTCTGATGGTTTTAATCATGAAAACCACCCAAGGTTGACGGGTGATGGACGGTTTGATGGTTTTAACAATGAAAACCACCCACTATGTGGGCTTTTTATATTTATAAAAGTTTGGGATATATATTGTGTGTGTGTGTGTGTGTGTATAAATCTTATATAAATTACAAATTATTTAGATAATATTTTGTTTTTTTTCCTAGGCAAGCATATCATATATGTACATAAAATATTCACATATGTATGTGCTTCTATAAGAAATAGCATATTAGTCAATAATTATTTACATTTGATATAGTAAATTTAATTAATTCATATAATATATAAGAAAATTACCTAAATCAGCCTAGGCGCTAGGCGCTAGCCCGCCGCCAGCCGCCCGCCTAGCGTTTTTTAGAACCTTGGTTTTAGGTTCGATTCTCGACAAAAGCCAATTTGAACCACATTATACTAACCCATTATGAGGTTTAGCCCACCCTCTCCCCTTAGTGTAGATAATATCATTTGTTAAAATAAAAAAATATTTTTTTTATCATAAACCAATTTCACCATTAGAATTAAAGGAATCACAACCCTTGATTAAGCCCAAAGTCAAAGACGACTTTTTTTTT